TCTGCAGACACTCTCTGCTGTCCTGCCATTGTGCCTTTCTTTCTTAATTCGTAACTGTCTTGGCGAACACTTTCACCCCCTCAAGACTCTGGCCATATCCACCCAGCCTGCCACATGGCAGTGCTCCCAAGCCTTCTCCCTTTAAAAGACTGGAATCCAAGCCCTTCCTCCAGGCAGCCCTTGAGTCTGCACCTCCCCCTTTCCCACCACCCAGCAAGGACCCTCCTGCAGTGGACTCAGTTCCCTGGCTCTACTCTCTCAGGCCCTCTCTCCTGAGACTTGGCAGACCCAGGGACACTGAGCGGGGAGAGAAGCTTTACGGACTGGCACCGTGGGATCACACATGAGCGTGTCACAGATACAGAAACACAAATGCAGAGAAAATGACACATGATTCGTGAAAACCAAGGAGAACATTTTGGTGATAAAACCAAGAGCCACCAAATGTCGTTCAACAAGTCATTTAATGTTTCCTTGGGCATCCCAGTCCCATGCTCCTGGCATCTTAGGGGTTTGATTCCCTGATCTGGCACACAACATCACAGATGGACGAAACCTGCCCAGAGACAGTTATGCCTCGCCAAGCATCACCCAGGATTTAATTCAGACGTGGAAAGCTGCCCTGTAGAGGGTGAGAGGGGAAGATGGGACCCCACAACCCGCATCGTGTCCCCTCCTCCAGGGAGGCCTCCCCAAGTAGGGTCTCTGTGTCCTCCTTGCCCTGAATGTCTCAGATCTGAGTTAAAGTGGGGGTGGGGGGCTGTCACCCTGGTAAGCAATGGCCTTGACCCTGTTTTCTTCAGTTCCTGCCTTTTTCCTTCCAGCAAAATGCAAGCACCCCAGGATCCCCACTGGGCCCACCCTTCCGGTGAACTCTATTCCTTCCTCCTCTATCACTGGTCTCATCAACAGCACTGGGTGTTTCATTCCTAAAAGCCAGTATCTGATGAACTAATTCATGCTAAGGTGTTAATGACTTGTTAATAGCTTGATGAGCTGCTTCTCCCAGGGACACCTGCGCTTGAGGGATCCAGAAAAACTGAGTTATTTGAGGACAGGCAACCCTGTATGTCCCCTCCAACACTCCCCCCCCCATAGTTGCTCTACAAGCGTGTGATAAGAGGATCAATATCCAGAGATGTAAGGGAGATCATGTTTGTAAAATGAGTTTTGAGTTTTGTACTTGGAAAGCACATTTTAGATGGTGGCTGTAGCGTGCTAACCTCAAATCTGAGAGGGCTTGCTCGTAATGTTTACCTGCTCCAAAGAAGTCACCTGCAAGTCCAGCAGGGAGAGACTGGTTCATGAGAATTTATGGAAGTCTCTGATGCGCAATTGGTTGGTGAAGAAAGAATTCGTACCTCGGGATAGGGCAGCAAGCAGTTTTATAAGTAAACACATTGTCCAAATTGCTACATGGTGTTTCCAACCACATTGATTAAGGGGGCCACCTACATTGCTCTCAGCTCTGTTCCACCAGCTCCTCATTACTGGGAATCTGCATATCTTTCAGAGACCAGCCTTGGCCAGTGGCAGCTCCCTGGGGGCGGGGGCAGAAAGAAGCCAGCAGTAGGACAGGGGGAAAGAGTCTATGTCCAGACAATATCTCACAGTGGCTATTATTATTATTTCTCATAGCTAATTTTCCAATATCGGGAGGGTCTGAGTGGAGAGATTCTTTGAGGCTGTACCTACGAGAACACCACCCTTCCCTGTTCTCCAACATCTGGTGACACTGTGCTGGGTATGGAGGAGTATGAGGCCCAATTAGGCCAACATCAATTGGGCAAATTATATTGAAAAAGAAAATCTCAGGATGAGATTTTACAAATGTCACCGAGAAACTTACTGGTAACAGTAAAAGCTGTAAAGACTGGTTAGCCAGCTGTAAAACATTTGCAATAAACAAAAAGCAGTCAACCGTTTGTTGCTAGTTAACTGTTGCTGTTAACTAATCTTATCTTAAAGAAACAAACCACCACCATCAATTAGGCGGTCCAGAACCTCTGGAAATTTCCTTTTGCAGACTCTTCCAAAGTTAATTACCCTGACCCACTAAACCCTGACACCCCTCTTACAAAAACACCCCTCTAGCCCCTGCCTCTTGCAGACAGCACACACTCTCTGCTGTCCTGTCTGTTGTGCCCTTCATAACGTATCTTCCCTTTACTAAATCTGCCTTCCTTAATTCAGGACTGTTTGGTAAATTCTTCTTACCAACCCACGACTTAGGCCACACTGAGCCTGCTGCCACACACAGCCTTGGGGATGTGCTGACCCAATGCCTCAGAGGAGAGGAAGGGGAGAGCAGGAGGAGACATGAGGGAGAAAGGCGAGGCTGGGCCACTTCTTTTATCCTGCTTTGCTCTCTACTTTCAGTCATTGATAACATTGATTGGGCCTTCAGTGTATCAGGCATTGCTGGCACACCTTATGTGGATTAACACGTTTCCTCGTCCCAACCACTCCACAAGGAGCTCACTATCCCATTAACAGTTGGGGAAACTGAGGCTTGGAGAGGTCAAGCAGAGCTCGAGCAGTGGCATGGAGTTCAGACCCTGGAGCCTGGGCTCTGGCCTGGAGACACTCTGGGTGGGCGTGGCCCTCTCACCCCTGAAGATGTTGGACCATCTCTGCTCTGCAGGTTGCTTCTCCAATAAAGAGTTATTCACCCTGGTCCCCCCATACCTGGGAGGGGTGTTGAGAGGCTGGTCCTGGGTGGAGGAGCACAGAGGGAGAAGTCAACTGGGGACACCTGCAGGCCCCAGGCCCTGGGAAACTCAGCAACCTACACGCAGGTGTCCATGGCTAGAGGTGTCGGGGAGGGGAGTCAGGGCAGAGTCCAGGCGGGAGTTCCGAAGAGCAGAAAGGTCTGGGTGAGAGGCAGTGGGGAGAGAAGCAGCTCCAGACTGGGGAGGAATTGTTGGACATTTTGGAGGCAGTGGACAAGGCCAGTGGGTGAAATGTCCTTGGCAGGGAGCAGGAGGAAGGAGGCTGTGGGATGGGGGGGCAGGGCCCACAGAAGCAGGGACATCAAAGGCTGGGTTAGGGCACTGCCACGCACGTCGGGAAAAACGCAGCCTGCAAAGCCAGTGATGGAGGAGCTCTGAAAGGACCTCGGTGTACACCACAGTTTCCCGTGTCCCCAGCCCTGAGCATGGCGTGCCGCACTTAACAGAGGTCCCCCGAAGGGAAGTGGGGAGGGAGGGAGGAGTGAACCAGGTTGTCTGTGATCTGGAGAAACCTCTACTGTCCTTACCAAAAAAAAAAAAAAACCTAAGATGACACATGCCATGGTCTTCAGAGAAGCCCCACAGGAGCTGGTCACAAAGCCACTGTCCTTCCAGCACCTGCCAAGAACATGCTCAGGGCCGAAGGCAGGGAGGAGAGCTCAGACCTGGGTTGTGACAATCCAGGGAGACCTCCTGAAGGAGGAGGGCAGGATGGGGGAGCAACAGAACAAGAGGTGGCGAAAGGTAAGGCGGGAAGGATGGAGGGAAGTTGGAGAGGAGGGAATGAGAATAGGTGGAGAGAAAAGAGAAGAGGGAAGTACTGGTGGTTTCAGTAAGAATGATGAAGACAAAATGGCGGGGAGAAAACAAGGGGGAAGGGATGCAGGGAGGGGTTGGACTCCAGGTTGATCCTCCCCCAACACTTGGGAGAGAGCCCCAAGCAAGGCTGGCACCCCACTCAGCCAAGAGCCACAGCACACCTGTGGAGCCCCAGCAGGGATCTCTGGGTGAGGGTGTGTCCCAGGGACCAAGCCACCAGGGGCTGAAGAGGGCCACAGCGGCAATGGCAGTCATGGGAGGGCTGGGGTTTGCGCCCTGGATGCAGGGGCCAGGGCAGGGCCTCTGGGGCAGTCATGGAAGGACTGTTTGGAGCAGGGTGGGATCGTGCTTCCAGGATCACCCTTGTTGGAGTCATTCTGGCCTGAGCCTGCCCCAAGGCCTGTATTCCTGGGGAGGGCCCCAGCCAGCCTCACTCCGGGGCGCCTGGGCTCGCAGCTGGGAATTAAGTCTCAAGTTAGTCACAGCTTCCTTATTTGAACTCTAAATGGATGACTCCTGTCCTCAAGCTGCTCCCAATCCTATTAGTGGACACGCATTGGAGGAGAGGCAGGGATGACGAAACAGACCACCCAGAATCTCTCCTTGGAACTTTCAGGGCCTGGGCGAGCTTCCCTCTTAGTCCTCTCTGTTCCTCCTTCCACTGAGTTCCTGAATTTTTCAGTACCATCCTTCTTTTCCCTTCCTCATTCTCTCTAGTGTTTGAAGGGCTTATCTCCTCATGCCACCCCCAGCCTGCCTTGTGGGAGAGGGCAAGTGTAGACATCTGGTTCCCCAGAGGACTTCAAAAGGACACAGCTGGCTCTGGCCTGAGCTGCTCACATCCCATCCATAAAGAGGGTCCCTCCGCCCCAGATACCCCAGCAGAGACAGCTGCTGCCCTCTGGGTGGTCTCCAGGAGGCCTGGGGAGGGGATTAATGCCTGAATGATCTGTCCCTGTCCAGGAAGGAGGGGGACTGAGTGAAGGCTGGAGCCCCCAGACACCCCACCCAGTGTCCTGTCCAGGGAAGTCCCCCCCAGCTCCACCCCCAATCTCCCAGGAGGAAGCCAACACCGCAAAGCAGATGAACCAGGATGGGGATGGTGACGTGCCAGGGACATCCCCCTGGAGAGGCTGAGGCCTGGGGCAAATTACCCCATAACAGCAGGTTAATTAGATAAGACCCAAATTACATGAGCAAGGCTTGCAAGCCCAGCACTTTGAAGGTTTCGTGTTGATTTGGAGGTGGAGAGGGCTTGGTCTCTAGCTCAGCATGGAGAAAATGACTTCTTGCTCCCAGGCAAGCCAAACCCACGAATTAGGCTCCTGACTGCCCATCCGCAAGCCCCGGTGCCAAGCACATATAAAGGCACCTGCCAGTCCCCTCCACCACCACAGAACCTGTGTAGGATCTCGCCTTCCTCCCTCCTGAGTTTCAGCCTCATCTCCACCAGCACCATGAGCCGTCAGTTCACCTGCAAGTCGGGGGCTGCTGCCAAGAGGGGCTTCAGCGGCTGCTCGGCTGTGCTCTCGGGGGGCAGCTCATCCTCCTTCCGGGCAGGGGGCAAGGGGCTCGGCGGGGGCTTCGGCAGTCGGAGCCTCTACAGCCTGGGGGGCAACCGCACCATCTCCCTCAACATGGCCAGTGGCAGCGGGAAGAGCGGAGGTTACGGGCTTGGCCGGGGCCGGGTCAGTGGCTTTGCCGGCAGCATGTTTGGCAGCGTGGCCCTGGGGCCCATAGGCCCAACGGTGTGCCCACCCGGGGGCATCCACCAGGTCACTGTCAACGAGAGCCTCCTGGCCCCCCTCAACGTGGAGCTGGACCCCGAGATCCAGAAGGTGCGCGCCCAGGAGCGGGAGCAGATCAAGGTTCTGAACGACAAATTCGCCTCCTTCATCGACAAGGTGGGTCTGCTGGGACCTGGGACACCTGCAGGCAGCCCTTCTCCTCTCCTGGAAACGTGAGATTTTGTTACAGCAGAAGAGATTGAGGTTAGATATGAGGAGGCACTCACTGAGGCCAAGGCAGCTACATTTCATCTTCGGGTTGACTGGTAGGAGACACTCTGTGTTGTCGTTACAGAGAGAGGACAGAGGTACATCCATTTCTACTGGCAGAGGCTTCTAAGGGTTGCCAGAAGGAGATCCACAGGGCAGAGACTGGCTCCTTGCTCTTGAAGGCCAGCTCGGTGCCACTGCTGGACCTTGGGGCCATGCAGGCTGTGTGCAGAACAGGTCCATGAGAGAGAATCTGCCCCAGAGTAACCCAGAGGCCCGTCCTCCTCTCATGGCCGACCCTGCCCCCAGTCCCTTGGCTGATGGGTGCATCAGTGTGGGTCATCGCAAGCACTCTGGATTCATGGGTGTCTCCGCCACGGGCATTTGTTTCCATCAGTTGAGGACTTCCTTGAGGGGGGCCGGACAGGGTGGTGGGGAAGGGGTCTCCGTGGGGCTCTGGAGTTGTCACTGACCAGCTGTGTGGCTTTGGGAAAGTCACTTGTCCCACCTGTGCCTCTGTTTCCTTATCTTTAAAGTGGAGATAATAACTTACCTCTTGGGGCTGTTGTCAAGCTTAGAAAGGAAAACACATGAGAAGATGTTGCCGCAAGCCTGACACATATGAAGTCCTCCTAAAATAATGGTATCAGGACTCCCATTTCTCACCTCCGGAAGCTGGGGGAGGGACAAGGTGGGTCTGCTGGGACCTGGGAAACCTGCAGGTGGCCCTTCTCCTCTCCTTGGAGAGGAATCAAAAATCTCCAGACACCCCGAGATGATCCCGCCCAGATAGGCCCCCGGATCCTGGCAGATAAGAAATGATGACCCCTATTTCATGAGTCAGTGAAGGCGGGGAGGTAAATGCTGTGCTGGGCCCATTTGGGGGAAGGGAGGGATGACTCAGCCTCCAGACACAGAGGAGAAGACTTAAGAGCTGTGTGGCCCCGTGGCAGTCAGGAACTAAGGACAGACCAGCCCCGGACAGAACCAGGCCAACCCAGGACAGAGCTGGGCATGCCTGCAGAGCTTAGCCTGCCGCTATGGCTCTGGCCTTCCTGCTTGGAGGGTCCCCTTCTGTTTTTAGCTCGGCCTCAGGACTAGAAAAGGCTCCCGGGCTTCTCACTCTTCCAAGCCTTTGCACATCCGGAAGGTCCCTGCGTTCAGGCGATTGGGGTCTGAGGCCTGGCGAGGCCAGGTCCTTGGCTGGGCTGGTCAAAAACCTATGCAGGGGTGAAGACAGTTGCACCTCATTCACAAAGGTGGGCTGCCTGGAGGGGAGGGAGGGAGGGAGGGAAGAAGGGCTTAAAGGCCTGGGCAGTCCCTGAATAATTTGCCTTTCGAGAGGGACAATCCCTTAACCTCAGGCAGCCAGAGAAGATGGGTGAATCCAGCTGTGTTCAGCAGTACAGATGTGTATCGTGGAGTCTTGGACATAAGGTTTACTCCATGTCTAAATCTTGGCCTCATGACTATGAATGAAAAACTCAGGAATGGTTAAACCACACCAAATGCTGAACGGTCTGCTAGGGACAAACTCTTCCGTGGACAATTCTGTCTTAACACTGAATCCCAAGTCTTGTGTTTCTGATTTTGGGGTAACTGGCCTTATTGAAACAGTAGCCATGCTCATGTAGATTATGGGAAGTCACACTTAAAAAAAAACCGTGTCCCATAAAACCATACAAGAGAGGTGTATGGAGATCTCCCCCTGATCAGTTTGCCGATTCAGCAAGGGGTCGCCATGGGCTTGGGAGCTCCTGAGCCTGTCACGCCCACCAAGCTTTCCCTAGGATGACGGGTCTGGGAACAGGGCTGAGGGGTGAAGGGGGGCTGTAAGCAAAGATGGATCTGGGGTCTGATGCAGGAATTTTAAATACCTGGAAGCCCTTGGCCCTAGCCTCAGCGAGCTTCGACGTGTCATAAAATGAGGATCAGACTTCCTTCTTCAGAACAGTCAGCCTTTCCCAAAAAGGTGGACCCAGCCTGGTTGCTGTCTTGGCATTCTCAGACAGGCCTATGCCCTGAGTTGGCATGGCCATGGAGGGCTCTGGGTGACTTGGATGCGTGGGTTGAAGGAACACGTGTCTGGGCTCTCTTCTGGGCACCATCACTTATTATACTGTCAGACCTCAAACAGGCTGAATTTCTCTGTGCCTTTGTTTTCTCGCACCACCACGTGTGGCTGTCATGAGGGGTGCAGGAAACATGACAGGCCCAGCGCATTGCCCATACCTCGTGAGGGGCAGGTGTGATGATTTTGGGGTTCTGGGCTTGGGTTCTAGGTACGGTTCCTGGAGCAGCAGAATCAGGTTCTAGAAACCAAGTGGGAGCTGCTGCAGCAGCTGGACCTGAACAACTGCAGGAACAATCTGGAGCCTATCCTCGAGGGCTACATCACCAACCTGCAGAAGCAGCTGGAGGCCCTGTCTGGGGACAGGGTGAGGCTGGACTCAGAACTGCGCAACGTGCGGGACCTGGTGGAGGACCACAAGAAGAAGTGAGTGGGAGGAGCCTCTGTAACAGGACAGCTGTCCCTGTCCCTCTGAGGGGCTCTGGCAGCCACCCTGCTTGAACTTTGTGGAGACAGGAGGCAGTGCTCCTGGTCATACCAAGCAGAATCTCCCCAGCAAAATGCCGGCGCTTAGACTTGGCACTTAGGATACACGTCCTGTCAGCAGGACAATGGCCAGAGGACCACCTCTGGCTATGGGGTGAGGGAATCCCTGAGTAAACCATTTACCTTCTCCCAGAGCTCCTGTGTCCTCATCGCTAAGAGAGAGGCAAAAATTAGCCAGGCATCTGGCATGCACCTATAGTTCCAGCTACTTGGAAGGCTGAGGCGGAAGGATCACTTGAACCCAGCAGGTGGAGGCTGCAGTGGCCATGAGCAGCATGCCAGCCTAGGCAACAGAGTGAGAGTCTAAAAAAAAAAAAAAAAAATGAGGGAGGCTAAGTGTATCCACCTCCCAGTCTGTTTGGAGATACAATTGAGGAAATGTGGGTGGAAGCAATTTGTCATGTGGAAAACTTTACTCAAATCTGGGGAGAGCAGTTCACTTCCGGCTTCCTCTAAGAGTTCCCAAAAGGCATGCGCTCCATGCTCCTTCCTCCCTTTCCAAGCTGGATCTCCTTCTCCCAAACTTGGCTGCTACGTCCCTTCCTCTAGGAGGTCTTCCTTGCCTGACTGGCCCCCAACACCTGTGTCCTCTGACGGGCATGCTGCTCCCAGCTCAAGGTCTTCCCTGGACAAACCAGGACTCCCCATGCGATGTTTTCTCTGATGCACCCTGGCTCATACTTCATTCCCACAGGTACGAGGATGAAATCAACAAGCGGACAGCAGCGGAGAATGAGTTTGTGCTGCTCAAGAAGGTGAGGCAAGGCAGGTTCCATGTCCAAGGGCTGGCCTGGGACCAGGAGAGTGGAATCTACCAGGGTGCTCTGCCATCTGTTCTAAGGCGGAGGCAGAGGAAAGCCAGAATGAAAGACTATCCAGGACTGGGCATGATGGCTCATACCTATAATCCCAGCACTTCGGGAGGCTGAGGTGGGAGGACTGCTTGAGCCTAGGAGTTTGAGACCAGCCTGGGCAACATAGCGAGACCGTATCTCTACAAAAAAAGCAAAAAATTTAGCCGGGCATGGTGGTGTGTGCCTATAGTCCCAGCCATTCAGGTGACTGAGGTGGAAGGATTGCCTGAACCCAGGAGCTGAGGCTGCGGTGAGCTGTGATCATGCCACTGCTCTCCAGCCTAGGAGACAGAGCAAGACCCTGACTCAAAAAGAAAAGACTATCCAGAAAAAAGAATGAAAGGGAGGGTGTGAGGGGATACCGGCAAGAGGATGCCTTGCTGAGTACATTATGTTCATGTAGTTTGTCCACGGAGAACAGCAGCGGCAACACAGGGGCTCCCTCTGCAGCCACGGCCACGGGACCTGGCTGAGATGTCACAGGGCTCCCTGACCGTGACCCAGCTGGGCTCCCTTCCCACAGGGATGCCTCCTTCCTGCCAAGCGAGCATCTCGGGATGGGGAGGGGCTGGGCCTTCTCCTCCTTCCTCTCCTTCCCCTTGAGCTACACAAAGACAAGAGGGTGACTCCCTCCCCAGGAAGGACACCCAGGCTGGATGGGGGCTGCCTTCTTGGCTGCACCCGCAGTGACCGGGGGCAGGGGGATGTATCTTCCAGGATGTGGATGCTGCTTATGCCAACAAAGTGGAACTGCAGGCCAAGGTGGACTCCATGGACCAGGATATCAAGTTCTTCAGGTGTCTCTATGAGGCCGTAAGTCAGTCCCGCCCCTTCACTCTTCTGAGGGCTAGTGGGGAAAACTCTTTTCCAGGGCTGGGAGAGATGTAGAGCTCCAGTTCTCAGGCAAGTCCTCCCAGTTAGTCACTCATCTCTCCAGTCAGCCCCGAGAGGCTCCTCAATCCCTGCCCTCTGAGTGGGAAGAGAGTGGGCCAGGCCCTCCCGCCATGGCTGGGGCCCGGCAGGAACTTGCTTTGTTCAAAGAGGCAACAGCCTGGGGATCCAGCCTCTAAACTGGGGCATCACCCAAATGGGCTCACTTTGCTTGGGGGAGGTGGTCAGCCTCCAACAGTGGTCAAGCCCAGAGACTATCCCTGTTTCCCCCGCAGGAGATTGCTCAGATCCAGTCTCACATCAGCGACATGTCCGTCATTCTGTCCATGGACAACAACCGGAACCTGGACCTGGACAGCATCATCGATGAGGTCCGCAACCAGTACGAGGAGATCGCCCTGAAGAGCAAGACCGAGGCCGAGGCACTGTACCAGACCAAGGTGAGCTGGACTGCGGCTGGGCCAGAGAGGGCGAAGCCACAGGCACCAGGCTGGGCCTGACTGTACCCAGGACAGTGTCCAGGTGAGTGTCCCCAGGTAAGTGTCCACTGTACTCATTTACGACTCTGTGTTTTGGGGTCCCCAGTTCCAGGAGCTGCAGCTGGCGGCCGGCCGGCATGGGGATGACCTCAAAAACACCAAGAACGAGATCTCGGAGCTCACTCGGCTCATCCAGAGAATCCGCTCAGAGATCGAGAATGTGAAGAAGCAGGTGAGGGCACCTTGGCCTGGGGCCTGGGGCCTGGGGCCTGGAGCCAAGCGCAGGCAAGCTTGAGTAGAGGGAGCTGCATGGCTGGGAAAATTGGCCTCCCAAACCTTTACTTGGGAGAACAGAGGAGGCCGGTGAGGCCATGCCTCACACACTTGGGGCAGGACCCCTCTGGGGTCATCATCTCCCACACACTCCAAGGACCTCTGTCTTGAAGCCCCCTCCTTCAGAAGCTTCTCTCGCCCCCCCCCCCCAGGCTGGGCTAGGACCTCCCACGCCCCCACCCCAGGGTTTTCTCTCCTGGCACCTGGGCTTCCCTGTACCTGTCACATTTCCTGCTATTGCTTCACACCTGCCTGTCCCCGACAGCCCCACCAGACTGAAAGGAGGAAGGGGGCTGACTGCTTTGGGCCTGGCATCTCCCCAGCCTCTAGTAGGGTGCCTGGCTCACGGCACAGCTTGACCAACTCTTGCTGAGTTCACCACTGAAAAGGGAAATTGAGCTCAGGGAAAGCCTGTTAAGGGTACCTTATTAGGGACTTCCTGGAGGCCACTCCCAGGAACGAAGATACAGCCTCAGCCTTAGCAGACAGGGGCCTATGATGCATGTGTGTAAGAAAGCAGCGCCTAGTGTTTTATCACTTGCCCCTCCCAAAGACCCTGAGAGGCATCATCTCCATTGCTGTGTATGAGGAAAACTGAGGTTCAGAAAGGATAAGGTGGTCACATGGCGGGTAGGTGGCAGAGCTGTGCTCTGAACCAAGGTCTCCTGGCTCCTAGTCCAGTGCTCCTTCCACTCTCCCATGGGCATTCCCACTTTGTAGCTTTTTGACCTTGGGTAAGTCACTTTGGCTCACCTCACAGGGTACTGTAAGGACTAAGTGAGCTAAGGTATACAGACGGCATGTACCATGCCGAGCATGTCACTGGGCATACAGTAAACCCTTGGCAAATAATGGTTGCTCCTGGGGCACCACCATCCCTGTGCCCTGGTCTGGCATCCTCCGCACCTGGGCAGTTGCTGTCATTGCCTTTACCACACCATAGCCAATGGTCTCTCCTCCCCCGCGCCTCAAGAACAGTAAGCCAACCTCCTCTCATTCATGGATGCCCTCTGCACAGTGGGGCTGGGTGGATGTCTTTGCACTGAGCTGCAGTGGTGCCCAATTGACAGTGGTCTCGGCAGGGTGGGGCTGCACAATTTCCATCACCCACAGGCCTAAACACAAGGGAGAGAAGCTAGAGTGGGGGGAGAGGAGGGCTTGCCAGCCCCAGAGGGGATTCCGGCTACAGGAAAAGCATGGCAGCTCTGCCCGACTCTAAGGAACAGGAGGGATTCAGATGTAGATGGCTCCAACAGCCCCTTCCCGTCTGCTGACTTCCCCGTTTCCATATTTAGGCCTCCAACCTGGAGACGGCCATTGCCGACGCCGAGCAGCGAGGTGACAACGCCCTCAAGGATGCCGGGGCCAAGCTGGACGAGCTGGAGGGCGCCCTGCACCAGGCCAAGGAGGAGCTGGCACGCATGCTGCGCGAGTACCAAGAGCTCATGAGCCTGAAGCTGGCCTTGGACATGGAGATCGCCACCTACCGGAAGCTGCTGGAGAGCGAGGAGTGCAGGTGGGCAGGGCATGCTCTGGCGGAAAGGCCCCCAGGACTTGGGAAGAACCAGAGGAGGAAGCCTACAGCCTATCGCGGAAGCGCTGAGCTCTCGGGGAGTGATACAGTGGTGTTGACTGACATTATGGTAGTAATTGATGATGCTGCCCCTGGGTGGCTCGGAGCATCCTCTCCTGATAGACCATGAACTCTTGCCTCTTGGCGGACACTGTACTATGGAGTACGCTACGCGAGTCAGCTCCTTTCTGGGAATACTAGGAGCATCCCATTGCCTCACTCCTCCTCCAAGCCCCATTATTCTATTAGGCTCCCTTGTTCCGTCTTCCTGACCTGTTCAGGCAGAACATGGGCTTGTCAGAGGTGGGAGGGGCAGCTACCCTGGCTTTCTTCATGTTCTAGGGGACTGAGAAGGCGGTGCATGGGCCCAACACTGGAGCCATCATGTGAACCTCTTGCAGGCTGTTGTTGGACTGTGGTTGTTGCCTAGTTACCCAAAAGATTCAGGGATGGCCCCCAAAGCTTCTCAGGCTCTGCTTGCATCAAGGAAGCCCTGGAATTTCCACAGGGGCCCGTGGGTTTCAGAAACCTGCCTTAGGTCAGTGGGGGCAAAAGCTTGGAAGAGTCTGTGGGCTGAATGTCTGCTCTCTCTTATTTTATTTCTCTCCTCATAGGATGTCAGGAGAATATCCCTCCCCCGTCAGTATCTGTAAGTACTCGTATACTTTGACCTAAAATTGTAGAATCTGTGGACTAGAAAGGACCTGAGCCACACCCTATGTGTGTAGAGGAGGGACCTATGAGCCAGAGAGGGATAGGCTTTGCCAGAGATCACAGAGCCAGAGGGCAGAGCCGTGGCCAGAGCCAGGTCTCCTGACGCTCAGGCCGGGTCTCCTCATCCTTATTCCTCTGTCTCTGTTTCCCAGATGGCAGCTGTGAAAAGCTGTTGTCACAGGGGGATGGGGGAACGAAGGTTGTGTTGCAGGAAAGCACTGCAGGCTGTGTGGGTCTGTGCGAGGTTAGGGAGCCAGGTCTGCAAACTGTGATCAGACCTGGGCTGGGACTAGAGAGTGAGGGACCTCAGAGGTCAGGCTGCTGGTATTGGATCTCTGTGTATGAAGACTGAAGGGGTTGGACCAGAGCCTTGGAGAGATGCCACGCATGAGAGGCTAGCAAGAGGGTGAGATGAAGGCAGGGAAGTTTAGCAAATAGGCTGACAAAAGGGGAGGTGGGTGGGTGTCCAGGAGGGCAAAGGGTGGTGTCCAGGAAGGCAGGGGGTGGGCGTCCAGGAGGACAGGGTGTAGGCATCCAGGAAGGCAGGGGGTGTCTAGGAAGGCAGGTGGGTGCCCTGGTGCCTAGGCCAGGAGGTAAGCCTCTGAGCATGAATGGAGCCTAAGTCAGTCACGTGGAGATGAGTTGAGCAAGCCAAGGACAAGCGTGAAGGCTGCCATCTTTGGGATATTCTCCCCACGGGGAGGGAGTGGCTGTGACTGGGGCCCTCGCCCAACACTCGCTCCAAGAAGAGCCCCATTTGCGCTGGGGAAGGGGAGTCTCCCATGGGTCTGTGGGTGGGTGCTGACCCCGCCCCCCTCCCCCCCAGCCATCATCAGCAGCACCAGTGGCAGCGGTGGCTATGGCTTCCGGCCCAGCACGGTCAGCGGCGGCTACGTGGCCAACAGCGGCAGCTGCATCTCTGGAGTGTGCAGTGTCCGTGGTGGGGAGAGCAGGAGCCGGGGTGGTGCCAGCGACTACAAGGATGCCCTGGGGAAGGGCTCCAACCCGGTCACCCCCTCCAAGAAAGCCAGTCGATAGAGAGACCTGCCCGGTGCCTGTCTCCCCCTGTGACCCAGCTCTGGCTCCCTAGCTTGGCTCCCCCAGCCCTCTGTCAGCCCCATCTCCACCCTGCTGGTCCTGCTCCTGCACACCCGGCACTGGCCTTGGCTACCGCTTCTCCCAGCCTTTGTCTTCCTGAGCCTGGATGGGCCTGGAGGACCAAGCTGGGTGAAATTCCTCCCTGTCCACTCCGTGTTCACTTCTTGGCTGCGGTCCCCAGGCCACACCACTGGCCCAGGCCCAGGTTCCCGGTTGACCTCCTCTGCCCAGCCTCTGGCTCAGCTGCTGACTACTTTCCCTATCTCCCTGGGCCTCAGACTGAGGCCTCCTCACACTGGGGGGCCTAGCATGGCTCTTGCCTGTGCTCCAGAAAAGGAGGGCCAAAGGACAAACGGCCAAGAGTGGCCCAGCTCCCATCCTCCCCTACCCCTGGCTTCATCTCAGGGGTCATTCTGAGTGGGACCAAGTACAACACGGGGTCTCCTCCTTCCCTGTCCTGCACCCAGAAGCAGAGAAGGGGAGGCACCACTCACTTCTCCTTTGTTCTTCAAGGCCCTTCCTGCTGCATTCTCAATAAACAGCACAATCTGATGTTTCGGTCTCCAAGTATTCAAAGTGCACACATGTCTTGATTCAGATGCTCATGTGAGCATGTAACCCCCCCCCACGGACACACAAATAGCACATGGATACACAAATACAGACATGTGGGAGCATATCACTGTCTGTGGCCCATGCAGCCTGCATTTCTACGGTAACTGTCTCTGTGGAGCAGAAAAGTCAGCCCTCCAAGCACACATGCATGTGTGGGTCTGTGTGAGGTCAGGAAGCCAGGTCTGCAAGTTGTGATCAGACCTGGGCTGGGACTAGAGAGTAAGGGACCTCGAGGTCAGGCCGGTCATATTGGTTCTCTCTGTATGAGGACCAAAAGGGCTGGACCAGAGGCTTGGAGAGATGCCATGCATGGGGCAGCTAGCAAGAGGGAGAGGTGGAGGCGGGGAAGTTTAGCAAAGAGGTTGATGGAATAGCCAGTGGGGGGAGTCCAGTGGTTATGTGTCCAGGAGGTCAGTAGTGGGTGTCCAGGAGAGCTGTGGGTGGGCATCCAAGAGGACAGTGTGTGAATATCCAGAAGGGCAGTGGGTGGGTGTCCAGGAGGTTGATGGGTGGACGTTCAGAGGATTGTGGTTGGGTGTCCAGAAGGACAGTGGGTGGGCGTCAAGGAGGCCAAAGGATGGAGGTCCAGGAGGCCAGTGGGTGGATATCCAGGAGGGCTGTAGATGGGCATCCAGGCGGACAGTTGATGGGGGTCCAGGGGGCCAGTGGGTGGGTATCCATGAGGGCAGTAGAGTGTCAGGAAGACAGTGAGTAGGCATCCAGGAGGGCAGTGGATTTCCAGGAGGCCAGTGGGTGGATATCCAGGTGGCGAATAAATGGGCCTCCAGGGGGGCTGTGGGTGGGAGTCCAGGAGGCCAGTGGGTGAGCATCCAAGAGGCCAATGGTGGGTGTCCAGGAGGCCACTGGGTGCATTCCAGGAGGGCTGTGGGTGGGCGTCCAAGAGGACAATATATCGACATCCAGGAGGGAAGTAGGTGGGTGTCCAGGAGGTCTTTGGATGGGCATCTAGGAGGGTGACCAGGAGGAGAGCGGGTGGGTGTCTAGGAGGGCTGTGGGTAGGTATCCAGGAGGTCTTTGGGTGGGCATGTAGGAGGGCAGTGGGAGGCCATCGAGAAGGACTCTGGGTGGGTGTCCAGGAAGACAATAGGTAGGTTTCCTGGAGGATAGTGGGTGGGTGTCCAGGAGGCCAGTGTGTGTATGTCCTGAAGGGCTTTGGAAGGGCATCCAAGAGGACAGTATGTGAGTGTCCAGAAGGGCTGTGGTTGGGTGTCCAGGAGGACAATGGATGGGTTTCCAGGATGCCAGTGGGTGGGTGTCCAGAACTGTGGTTATGTGTCTAGGAAGCTAGGAGGTGGGTGTCCAGGAGGGCAGAGGGTGGGCATCCAGGGAGCCAGGGGGTACATGTCCAGGAGGCCAGTGGGTAGGCATCCAAGAGGACAGTGGATGGGTGTCCAGAAGGACTGAGGACAAGCATCCAGGAGTGCATAGTTGGGTGTCCAGGAAGGTGGTGAGCCAGTGTTCAGGAGAGTAGCGAGTGGGTATCCAGAAGGGCAGTGGGTAGTTTGGTGCCCTAGTGCCTGGACCGGGAGATGAACTTCTGAGCATGAATGGGGCATGAGTCAGCCACATGTGCGTGAGCTGAGCGAGCCACTGTTGGGGCTATGGGCAGGTGGATGTGGAGCTGAGTCCTGGAGGAGGGATGAGGAGGTGCGGGAAGGGAGAAAGGCAAGCACAGAAAGGGAGGGAGTACACAGGCCTGGTTGTGGCCTCATCAGGACTGTGAACTGTATCTGGTGACAGAAATGGTCATGGTCATGGTCCTGGTGGGGACCCTGCCTTTTTCTAGAACTTTCTGGGACTCGGCCTTTCCTGGTGGGAAGTTGGGGCTTGGTGCACAGGTATGTGTACCTGTCCAGCCTCTGAGGAGGGGTCAAATGGGATGGGGTAGAGCTGGCAGGGGTCCCACTCTCTGGGCCCCTCTGACAGAAAGATAAGTCACAAGTCATTGGAGGCTAGGCCTAGAGTGGGGGGGGGAGCGAGCTGGGGGTCTGCCATGGGGTGGGAGTAGGCTGAGAAATTCAGTGACCCTGCAGTTGGCACCTTCTCAGACACGCTCCTGTCGACCCCCCAGAACCACTGTGGTGACAGCCAGTCCTGCCTAGGTGAGGGTGAACAGACAGAATCCCAGGCTAGCTCTGTGGCTGTGGCTGGGGTGGGGGTAGGTGGAGGCAGGGCATTTGTAGGAGGATGGGAAGCCAAGGTCTTCACAGGGAGGAGCTGGCTGTGATCTAGCCACAGGGCAGCCACACTAAGGGCAGAGAGCTCCAGCTTCATAGGGGAACACCCATCCAATTCCCTCCTGGATATCGACATATTATCCTCTTGGACACCCACCCACAGCCCTCCTGGAATCCACCCACTGGCCTCCTGGATACCCACCATTGGCCTCTTGGATGCTCACCCACTGGCCTCCTGGACTCCCACCCACAGCCCCCCTGGAGGCCCATTTATTCGCCACCTGGATATCCACCCACTGGCCTCCTGGAAATCCACTGCCCTCCTGGATGCCTACTCACTGTCTTCCTGACACTCTACTGCCCTCATGGATACCCACCCACTGGCCCCCTGGACCCCCATCAACTGTCCTCCTGGATGCCCACCCACTGGCCTCCTGGACCTCCACCTTTTGGCCTCCTTGACGCCCACCCACTGTCCTTCTGGACACCCAACCACAATCCTCTGAACGTCCACCCATCAACCTCCTGGACACCCACCCACTGCCCTTCTGGATATCCACACACTGTCCTCTTGGATGCCCACCCACAGCTCTCCTGGACACCCATTACTGACCTCCTGGACACATAACCACTGGACTCCCCCCACTGGCTATTCCATCAACCTCTTTGTTAAACTTCCCCGCCTCCACCTCTCCCTCTTGCAAGCTGCCCCATGCATGGCATCTCACCAAGCCTCTGGTCCAGCCCTTTTGGTCCTCATACAAAGAGAACCAATATGACCGGCCTGACCTCGAGGTCCCTTACTCTCTAGTCCCATTGTCTTCCTGGACACCCACCCAGGTCTGGGGGGGGTCAGAAGAGGAGGGTCTGGGCAAGAAGAGGAAGGGGGATAATGGAGGAGGGTGGAGGGCTTGGAGGAAGGGATGGATGGGCTGGGTTGGTGGTTAGAAGGCTCAGAGTAGAAGCTGGGGCTTGGAGCAAGGCCAGTGGGCCAGACTCAAGGCCCTGAGCCCAGCAGGTGAGGGTGAGTAGATCAAGACTCAGCAACATGTTTGCTTCCTTGGTTAACAAGACTCTGTGTGTGTGTGTGTGTGTGTGTGTGTATGTGTATGTGTTTCCAGTTCTGGGCATCAACACTTCTTCCATGAAGGCACCATGCATGCCTGCTGCCTCTGCTAGACTTCTCCCTTTGCAACAGTAAGGACAAAGGTCAGACAGCAGAAAGAACTTTTTAGGCAAGAGACTTAAAGAAATGATCGGATTCTCAAATCTGGGGGTGGAAGTCTTCTTTGGATCTTGCTGGTTCAACCTACAGAAGTGGGTAGGGTGTGAAGGTCCCCTCCCACTACCCCCTTATGCCCCCCAGGGCTCCAGGGGTCTCCTGAGTGGGCAGGGTTAACCTGGGTGCTGAGTCTGGTTTCTGGAGCTGGAGAACAAGGGGCTGGGGATGGGAGCCTCTTACAGGACACCGTTGGGAGCCCAACGTGAAGCCCACCCAGGGACCTGAGTCATTAGCTTGGCAGGTCCCAGCATGAGAGGCTCCGCTGGGTAACAGACTGGGCAGGACTTGCTGGACAATTCTGAGAGCAAGTGGGGGCTCTGGGAAAAGGAAATAATGACAATGTCTTGGAGGCAGGGTGGCCACCATGTTATCTATTGTGAATCTACATGGTTATTTATTCAAGGCTGCCCAGAGCAATGATCCATTACACAGGTTGAAAAGTATCCTGGGAACATCAAAAATGACAATATTTAAGCACCTACTGCAAACAGATTAAGCTGGGCTACTCGGAGTAGGGCCCAAACACTGACTGGTGTCTTTTGAAAGTCAGCAAAGGGATTCTAATGAGCAGCAGAGCCACTCATTAGAACCACTGACCCAGAGTCTGATCTTAATGATGTAGTGCTTGTGCCCAGATCCAGAGTGAGAGCACAGCATGATCGATGATTGATTAGTTATGCCTGCCATGGTCACTGGTGGAGGAAGTGAGGGTGCACATTTGTTCTCTTTAATGGTGATATGGAGAACCGCTATTGTTAGTCCATATTGCCACAGCCCCTAGAGAAGGTCATGGCGAGGGTTTGAGTGCTCCTGCACAAACCCACATTCCTGAGAGTTAACATGCCTTATCTCCTATGTACTCCCAGTATGTCACATCAGAGAATCCCTATCTTCCCTGAAGACTATGTCCAATTAACTGAGAGATGTAAAATCCCACCTACTCCCTTGCTAGTCACAGGTTTGAATAATATAGTATCAATGTAATTGTAAGTCTTGTGATTTGTATAACTTTTATATATAACAACAGGTAGTAACATATCATGTCTTAGGCCCTGTTAACTCCCTTTACTCTATGGCAAGCTTGATGAACACATCTGCCTGGTGTTACTGATGAAAAGCTGTGCGATACCTCTGGTATCTGCTGCCAGGAAATGAGGACC